AATAACATGATGCAATTCCTATCATGTATGACGCAATACCAGCTTCAGATTGCATCATTCTATTGTTTTGCCTAAAAAGCAAGTACTGTCCAAACCCAGTCATAGATTTATTCATAGATCCAGTCAAAGATGTATTTTAGTCATTTCTGGTTTAAATTGAGATCCCTTCCCTTTATAACTCACTTATCCTCCGCCATTCCCAAGTCAAGGGTCGTATATACTGACCCAATAGCATATCTTGAAAACTAGAGCCAATCAACAATTTTAAGCATCATTTTCGTTCTCAGTGACCCAGAATTAGTAAAATTTGACTACATTTATTTCAGAAGCATTTTGGCTGTAGAGCCGTGTTATCAGCCTTAGGATTGTGGTTACCAACACCACCTTAAATCAACCTGAAATTTCACATGCTTGAGTTTATGCCAGGTTAGAGTTTCCCCTAGAAGGTCTGAGGCACATCAGGTAAGGCATTTGGGAGATTAAAAAACAACACCAAAACTTCCTGGCTTGTCTGGTTTTAAAAAAAGGGAGGGGACCGACCATGCACACCTCTTATAACGGACTTGTCTTTTTGCTTCTGCGTCTTCACAAATGGAGCTATAGTATTTGCCAGGGGTTCTCAAACTTCACTGCATCACAACCCACTTCTGACGACAAAGTTACTACATGACCTGGGAGGGTGGGGGATGAGGGAGGGAGCCTGAGCCCTGCCGCCCCAGGTGGGGGTGGAGATCGGGCTTCAGCTTCAGCCCTGGGTCCCAGTAAGTCTAATGCAGGCCCCGGCGACCCCATTAAAATACTTTGGGATCCTGAGCCACAATTTGAGAACCGCTGGTATTTGCTATATGGAGCTTTGTTTTGTAGTAGGAGAGAACAGGGGACATGAGAAAGTCTCTTCAACCAACCTGCTTTAGCTTAAGGAAGAACTAGGCACAAGCTTTATCTTCAAACATTTGTCTTTTCAATGTCATACAAAGCTGCCTCTGAATTAGATACTATCTGTATAGCACAGAAGATCAAACATCAGTTAAAAGAAAGGCAGATTTTATTATGCATCTGAAATAGAACATTGTTTCATATTTCCCTCAATCAGTCTACCTTCCATCACAATAAAGCGGATTGATCAGAGGCCAATAATTAAAGTGTAGGATTTAAATGTAATTATTTTATATTTAAAAATATAAGTCCTTGAAGATTTTTGCAGCACTTACCTCAATTACCCTGGAGTCAAAGTCTTCATAAGTTTCTGTTGGGAGAAAAGAAACAAATATGTACTTCATTTATTTGCTCCTAATTATCAATACAGCACTAGGGCGACCTGTGATGACAGGTGATATAATATTACAAAGGGACAAAGCTTCTTATACAAATTAATTTATAATCCCTGCAGCATGTAGACTCTGGGCATGGCTTGCAATTTATATACACTAAACTAAAGTCCACGGCTTGTTTTCTTTAGAGTGATCTGCAAAGATATTTTTAAATGATCAAATTCATTTAGAAATGTATGCTCCCTAAATTCAAAATAAGACGGGCATTCAGTACATTTATAGAGTAATAACAACGAGGAGTCCTTGTGGCACCTTAGAGACTAACAAATTTATTTGGGCATAAGCTTTCATGAGCTAGAACCCACTTCATCAGATGTACCTTTAGTTTTCCATTTCAGGGTACACAAAGTTCGGGTTTGTTGTGGATTACTGGCCTCTGCCCTTTGAGAAGACCAGCATGCATCATGCTGATAACACATTTGCCATGCCACCTCACTGAAACAAGCCTATCAAGACAAGATCAATCCTGGGAGGTTTTGCTGTTTGCTTACAATACAACATAATTCTGTAAGTTTCTTAATATTCTTATTTTATTTCCCATTGGGTAGGATAAAATATCAAGTTTTGGAACCATGCACTATTGTTAAAAATAACATGGAACTTGCCTTGTCAGCAAGGTTGTGTAGTACGATGTCAGAAGCAAAGCACACATCTTACGGAGCAGAAGGGGGGGACGCATAGTGAGTCTAGACTTCATGGAGTTACAATATAAATGGAACAGAGGTGTTATAAACGTACTAACCACTTATCTCATTCTAATTATTTGGGGCACTCAGCACATATTTCTACACTGAGGAGAGCAGTTTCCTCCTGCTGCGCATGGAAGCTCTACAGTTGCACAAGACATCAGTACAGAATGAGTTTTGACTGAAGTCGCTGGTGCATTGGAACTATGGTGATAACTACCTACAATACTGCGATGTATTTCAACTTCAAATGTCAGCATTCCATTTTTTTTTGTAAAAAACATGTTAAGTTCTAGTCTTAAATTAGTTTGAAAATTTAAAATTAGAGAGTTGTGAAAAAAAAATAAATTGTGACATTTACTTAAATGGAACAAACATGTTCCCCACCCCACCATACTTGTAACAACTCAATAGTTAAACAGACCTGGTTCAAACCACTTACCTTTTCCTTCACCCCTGCCCCAGAAACATCTGGGCTCAGACTAAGCTTGGAAAATGCCAGATCAAATGGCAAACTTGTAAGTTATTATAACTTTAACTTCTATAATTAACACCAGATCTCTCTCCAAAACAATAATTTGTTTTACACTAATGCCTTGAGGCTCCAACCAAAACCAGGATCCATTGTGTAACTAAGAGATGGTCCCTGCCACAAAGATCTTATAAATCAAAATAGCCAAGACAGAGTGGAAGGAGGAAGTAGAATTATCTCCTTTGTAGAGATGGGGAAAAGCGGTTACCTACCTTCCCGTAACTGTTGTTCTTCAAGATGTGCTGGATACATGTCCATTCCACTGTAGGTGTGCGTGCACCCCATGCACGGGTGTTGGGCTAATGGACGCTGCTTGTTAAAATCTCTGGATCTGGGTGCACGCGTATCCTACGTGTGGAATTCACATAGGGACCAGCGCTTGAATTTTATTTTCTTCAGGAATTTGTTCAGATCTAAACTAGGCCTGAGACCCCCTTTTGCTTTGGTGATCAGGAAGTAGTGGGAATAGAAGCCTTTTCCCCTGAGGGAAATTGGAACTTCCCCTATGGTCCCTGCCTGAAGAAAAGAGTGGACCCCCGTTGAAGGGCAATCTCGTGACAGTGGTCCCTGAAGACGGATGGGGAAAGGGGGGCGGGATAGAAATGAACTGGATGGCATGCCCCCATTCCACCGTGATTGAGACCTACCAATCTGATGTTATGTGGCCCCACCACTTAGGAAATGAGATAAGCGATTGGTAAATAAAAGATGGGGAGCAGATGGAACTAAGGTGGCTGGTACACTCACTGTCCTTGAGTATCCCATCAAAATGCCTGTTTGGAAGGGGGTGGGTGGATGGTATGAGCCCACTGATGCTGAAGAGGGCCATGGTGGGCACCTCCTATAATCCCTTTCCATTTTTCTTGGTGGATTTTGGGATCAGGGAGCAGAACTCTGGTGTCTGAATGGCTACTGTGGAAGAAATTGCTTTCCCCCCCGCCCAATCACTGGAGTATAGATTCCAAGGGATTTGATTGTCGGTCACCCTGGAATCTCTGAGGCTATGAATTCTGTCATCCATTTTCTCTGAAAACAGACAGGGGCCTTCAAAAGGGAGGTCTTGGATCGTGAGTTGGACCTCTAGGGAAAACCCAGTTGACTGCAACCATAAATGCCTTCTCATATCCAAACTATCATCCAAAACTGTTTTGGAGGGCAGTTCTGGCGACCAGTTTACCCTCCTCACTCATCGCTGCAAACTCTTGTCTACACTCCTCGGGTAACTTGTCTTTGAACTTCTTAATGTTCTCCCAGAAAGTGAAGTCATGGCGACTCAGGGGTGCCTGCTGGTTTACAATCCTGAGTTGCAGCTTCCTGAAGAATAAAGCTTGCAACCAAACAGATCCAGCCTCTTTGAGCCTTTGCTTTTTGGCGTGGAAGCTCGATGTCCCTGCCTTTCCTTCTCATTGGCAGCTGCCACCACAGGAGAGCCTGGTGAGAGTAAAAATGTTCATACCCCTTAGAGGGGACAAAGCACCTCCTCTGGGCTCATTTGGCTGCAGGGGACAGGGAGGAGGGTGCCTCCCAAAGAGGCATGACTGGCTCCAGGATGGTTTAATTAACTCGTAGAGTCACCCTAGCCAGGGTCATCGATATCAGGATGTCCATCAACTGGTGAGACCTTTCGGACACTTCTTTTGCCTGAATGCCAAGTACAAAGGCCACTTTTTAAAAGCTGTTGATGGGCTCTGTGGTCCTCTGATATGGTGAGTAATTTGAGGGCCCAACAGCCTCAGCTGATGATAAAGACGAGGAGGCAGCAGGCATTTGACGTGGTTGCTAGCATGAGTTCCAGCTGCTCGGAACCTGTCTCAGTAGCAGATATGGGAGAACAGTACTCTTGGTGCCCGGAACCAGTCTCTGCACCGGTGTCTGGAGGGTAGTGCGTTTGGTGCCCGTGTCTCCAGTGCGCCAGGAGCATTGAGGGCAGGACCTGGCTGGAGGGGGAATGCCCCATGGTTACCAGAATGGCCACTGGTATGGGTCTGGGACCCCTCCTTATCCAGGGCATTGACCTTTAGCTGGGGCCCAACGTCGGGTTTGCCATATGGCACCGTGGTGCCAATGACTCTGATAGGGGGGCAGGGGGAGGAGAGTGCTGTGTCCTGGATGGGACAGAAATGACCTCACCTCTGAGCCTGAGGAGTCAGATGCCTCTGACAGAAGAGGGGCTGAAAGACAGCCTGAGCCCAGGGATGGCGGTAGCAGGGAAATAGAGGAGGCTTTCCTCTTGACAAGACAAGCTTCAGGGGAGGCTTGGGTAACCGTGCTGCAGGATCTCAGTGCAGTGAGCTATGAGCCCCAGGCATTGGCATGGGTTGCAGACCTTCTGCTGCCAACAATACCAGTACTGAGTGACTAAACATGTTTCTTGCAGCTGCATATGTGCCTGGGGTGGCTGGGTGCGGCACTGCCTGCTGGCTTTGTTAATGACCTTTACGGGAAACCTCAACAGACCTGACACAGGCCTCGAAGGTGGAGATCCCCCTTGGGAGGTGATGAGCATTCCAGAGATGGCCTTTCTCACAAATGCTTTGTGGAGTGTCTGCCTCTGTCTTGCTTTGGTACTGACACAGAAGAACAAGAGGCAGAACCTGAGGAAGGTCCGAGTCTTTTCTTCAGTACCGAAGAATGGGACCAAGGAACTGCAAACATGTCAGGTGGGGTGCTCTGTACCAAAGCTGATGTAGTTGAGGCGTTTTCCCTGTGTGACGACTCTGATGGGGGTCGAAGTGCTGCTTCCACGAGCAAGCCCTTAAGCCTCACCACTCTCTCGCTTTTTGGGCAGGGCTTGAAGCTTTTCCAGATGTGACATTTGTCACTAATGTGGGATTCTCCCAAACATTTCAGGCAGGAGGGATGCTGGTCACTGACTGGCACAGGCTTTGTGCAGATCCTGCAGAACTTAAACCCTGATGAGCAAGGCATCTTTCCAGTACTGGTCCCAGTACCAAGAAAAAAGGGTCAAGAGAGACCAAAATCAGACACCTAGCCCTAAAACTATCAAAAATTGACTAAAACTAACTATAGCCAACAAGCTACTAAAGTACAGATATGTAGAAAGTGGAGTGAGGGAAGTACGTGAATCACTCAAGCCTGGATTCGCTCTGACAGCCATCACTGGCATTAAGGAGGAAATGAGGTGGGTGGCTCTGCTCTGACACCAGCCCGCAGTGGCGTATGGTAACAGAGGGTGCTCAAGCCACCTCAACAGATACTGCTGAGAAAAACAAGTCTCTGATGTCTGTGCCCAGGGTGTGCGCACGCCTGCCGTGGCCTGACATGTGCAATCTCTGGAAGAAGTAGTGAGGCACAGAGCGGTTAAGTGACTTGCTCAAAGGCACTCAGTCTGGGGCAGAGCTGGAGACAGAACCCAGGTATCCTGAAATTCAGTACAGTGCCTTGACGACAAGACCAGCCTTCCTCTCTCAATTCAAACTGAAACTCTTGGGGCACCATTACTCAATTCTTGAGAGATCCAAACTCTGTACTCATTCCAGGACCAAAGTTGCACACTCTATTCTTCCGAGCTCTTCACTGTTGAAGAAATGCTGGGGGAATAAACAATTGTGCACAGTATGTTCCAGTGACGATCCATTTGTGTATTTCATCATTTGCATGCATGAACTGCCCACTTGCATAACTGTTACTCAGATGACTACCCTAAGTGAACTGAACATATATGCATTGATTGGAA